TCTCTCTCTCTCTCTCTCTCTCTCTCTCTCTCTCTCTCTCTCTCTCTCTCTCTCTCTCTCTCTCTCTCTCTCTCTCTCTCTCTCTCTCTCTCTCTCTCTCTCTCTCTCTCTCTCTCTCTCTCTCTCTCGCTCTCGCTCTCTCTCTCTCTCTATCTCTCTCCTAATCTCTCTCATTTCCCCTGTGTCTAGCTTTCTCTTACACACCCATAAACACTTTATAGCTTTCTCTTTCCCTCTCTTCCTAACAATCTCAGACATACATGATTCCTCTCCTCTTTCCACCCCTCACTCTCTCTCTTTCTTTGTTGTAGGCGAGCCGGAGTTTAAATATGTCGCTAACATGCACGGTAACGAGGTCGTCGGACGCGAGATGCTGCTCAAGCTAGCCGATTACTTGTGTGATGAGTATCGCCACGGCAACGAGGAAATCCAGCAGCTCGTTAACTTGACGCGCATACACCTGCTGCCATCTATGAACCCGGACGGCTGGGCGCAGGCGGAGCCTTACGAGGATGCGGTGAGAAGGGAGGGGTGGTGCAGGGTAGGATGGAGGATGGAGGTGTGGCAGAGTTTAGAGCAGTGGTTCTTAACCTTTTTGGCCTCACGACCCCATCAGACATTCTTGGTCAGTACCGTGACCCCCGAAACAGAAATTGAAGAAATAAACCCGATTTATGAAGACATGTCTGCCAATACTCAGTCAATGGGATGGCTGAAATTCCTTTGCAGCCATCAGACGATCAAAATTTTTTTGGGGGCAAGTGCTTTGGGCTTGTGGGCAACCAAATTTGAGTCACTTGCCCAACAGGGCAAGTGAGGAAAAGAAATTTTGTAGCACCCTGATAATTATATAGAATTTAAATTGAATTTGTTTCATTTATGACCCCTTGATGACGCCCAGAAAAACCCCAAACAACCCCCAGGTTAAGAACCGCTGGTTTAGAGACTGGAGTGGGTGGAGGGGCAGGAGTGTCAGGTGGATGGGGGACGGATCAGGAGGGAAGGCATTGGGTGGAATGGTTCTAATAGAAACATCACCTTTAAATAATATTATCACGTGAATTTGAATTTGATTTACACTCACAGGTGCAGGGAATGGAGTCGATAGAGGGAAGAGCTAATGCACACGATGTGGACCTAAACAGGAACTTTCCCGATTTGAACCGCATCGTCTATAGCAACGAGAAGCTGCATCTGCAGAACAATCATGTGCTGAATCAGCTGCGTCGACTGTCAACGCCGGTGAGTGAGGAGGAGAGGGAGGAAGGGTGGGAGGAGGAGAGGGAGGAAGGGTGGGAGGAGGAGAGGGAGTAAGGGTGGGAGACAGGAAAAAAACTACGTTTTTTTTCACGGGAGGTCTTTTTCAAGTCTGTAGGGAAAAATAGCTGTCGTCAAAAATTTTACGGGAGCTATTTTGAGCCTCACGGGAGCGATTTTGGAGGTTTGAAGAGCGAATCGCTCATCGCTCCCGTGTATTTTTTACCCTGGAGGCAAGGCCATAGAAAGGGAGAGAGGAAGGGAGGAGTTCGAAATGCCCTGTGACTGGCCCACATAATTAAAATCAGGAGGAAATGTAAGTGAAAGGGTAGTAACTTAGTAAGTGAAATGGAGCAAGCAGCAGAGAGAAGCGAGGGAGATAGGGTGGAAGAGGGAGAGAGAGACAGAGAGAGAGAGGAATAAAAGGGGGCTGAGTGGGAAATGAGGGAGAGAGGAGAGAGAGGTAGTGTGTGCGTGTGTGTGTGTGTGTGTTTGTGTGCGTGTGTGTGTGTGTGTGTGTGTGCATGCGTGCATGCGTGCGTGCGTGCGTGCGTGCGTGCGTGTGACCGTGTGCAAGTGCGTGTGCGTGCGTGAGTGAGGGAGAGAGAGAGGGTGGGTACAAAAGAGAGAGAGAGGGGGGAAAAGAGCCAGACGAGTATAGGCGTCTCGTTCACTCACGTACACGCGTTTTTCTCTGCAGCTGGAACCAGAGACGCGAGCCGTGCTACTCTGGCTGCAGCAGTTTCCTTTCGCGCTGTCGGCGAACATGCACGGTGGCGACCTCGTCGCTAACTACCCGTACGACGAGAGTCGCAGTGGCAGCAGCCTGGGACACTACACAGCCAGCCCCGATGACGAGACCTTCAGGTAGGGGAAAGGAGAAGGCAAGGGAAGGTGGGGGTTGCGAGAGAGGGAGGTGAGCGGGGTTAGTGGATAAAAAACTCAAACAACTTCGTTCAGCTTGGCAACTAGGCTAGTTGTCAGTGCTGGTGCTGACGGGTTATATAAATATATTTATCATAAAATAAAATTCCTATATTATATATCTATAATAATAATAAATAATAATAATAATAATATTACCCTAAGGTGTAACCTGGTAGTGTACATCGCTGCTGATAATGTACACGGTTTTGGCATGGGAATGCCCCCCTTATCTATAATATATTTTATAATATATATTATAGATTATATATAATATATATATATATCTTATATAATGTAATCTGTATGCAGGGAACTTGCTCTCGCCTACTCCTCCAAGCATCCGGAGATGTCTAACCTCAACCACAAGTCGTGCAGCCCACAGGATCCCAACGACGGAAACTTTGCTCGTCAGGGCGGCATCACAAATGGCGCTGCGTGGTACAGCGTCGCCGGCGGTGAGTGCGTGACGTGTGGCGCCCCCTTGATGCCACAATGTTGTCTTTTGCATTTGCTTCGCTGTGTCGTTGCAGTGCTGTGGATGGTGGGGATGTACCGTGCACAATGTTTTTTCTGGAATTAAATTGACTACGTCACGAATTTTCTATGGCGTATATTTGTAAAATTATTATTGCCATTTTTTTTACATTAAAAGTAAGTACTAACAGGACTAAATGTATCGTCAAATTCTTACCGGATAAGATTGTTTTTCAACTAGTTAAAAATCCAAAAAACCTGGACGATTTGATATTATGATCCTGACATTAAACCGTCTATTGCGAGAATTTTCCAGTGTTTTCCCCACTTTCATGATACCTACCGTTATTGCTTGAGTAAATGCAATTGTCTAGAGTAACGATAAAATGTCTTAGAACCTTCGTATTCACCAAATCCAATGAAATCATGCACGATTGCGATTTTGTGTTCTGTTTCTGTTTACCATTGCCATCTCTCGAATTTTCTCGCGGTAGCGCGAGACATCTATCACGGTGCAGCAATGCATACCACGCACCGTAGAAATCAGGTCAGAGTGTAAACACAGACGTTCATACTAGCGTAACAGCAGTGTAGTACTAATGCCACGTAAAGTCTGTTATTAGAAAAGCTTGTGGCTTGCCAGTCAGATAGTAACACGGGAATGACAATGCCAGAAAGTGCTCTGAATTATTGACATAAAAACTCAATAATATTTACCAAACAGAATTGCACGCCCTTTTGTTTTAATTATGTTTGCTTGTTTGAGACGCCATTTGTGATTTTTGAGAGTCCTGACACGATAAAATTTATTGCTGGTATGATGTGGTCAAATCAATTTTTCTATGCTATAACGGCATAAAATCTTGGTGGTTTGAATGTTGGTATAATCAGTGATATTTCCACTGTCAGGTGAGACTATATTCAGCTATATTTAGTTTTTCTGAGCCATACACACTTTAATTGCTTACTATGGGCTATGTATGAGTCACGAGTGTATGTTTACATCAAACAGTACAGTAAAATAGGAAGTATAATGCAGCAATTTAACCATAAAAAGTGAACAGAATTATTTACATTTTGTGAAAAAGTGGAAATATTTTTTTTTACTTTTACTGAGTGACGTAATCACTTTAAAGGTTATCGTGTAGGATTCATTGGGTGATATCTTCAGTACATGCCTTTCAGTTTGCCCAGCCAGAGGTAATATGTTCATTAGGATTATCCCAGTGATGGAATATTTGGATGGTTGGTTTGTTAGTTTGTTCAGGTTTGTGCGGTAGGGCTTTTCCTCATTTGCCGTAACTGGCCGTAGCCCGGGTATTGAGATCGGAGTGCGATTTAACGAGGTGCCGTTGTGTTCCTTGCAGGAATGCAAGACTTCAACTACTTGAGCTCCAACGCAATGGAGATTACACTGGAGCTAGGATGCAACAAGTATCCACCAGCAGCTGACCTTCCTAAGTACTGGGACCAGAACAAGGACTCGATGCTTAACTTCATGTGGCAGGTGAGCAAAAAGAGAGGAAGCCAAGTTATTAGAGAGTCTGTGAAACACGTCGCACAGTTGAGAGTGGCAACCCTTGTAACGAAGTCTCACCCTAAATCATTTTCGAGTACACCCGATATAAATGACAAGACGACATCGCGTGTGCTATTAGTTTACGTGATACGATCGTTAATGTATTATTAGTCACTGGTTCTGCGACATTATTGCATGCATGTCAAAAACTTTGCTAGAATCGCAGCACCACTTGTTAACCTAACAAAGAAACACGCTCGCTTTATATGGGATGATCACGTTGACGCTGCCTTTGTTGCGCTGAAGTATGCATTGTCACACGCGCCGATTCTAGCTTATCCACAAGTTAACGAACCGTACATTTTACACACAGATGCTAGCAGCCACGCCGTTGGAGCGGTACTGTCACAAAAGGATTGTCATGGTCGAGAAGTAGTTATTCAATATTTAAGTGCGAGACTTTCCGCACAATGTTGTTGGCCCGTTGTTGAGCGCGAAGGGTTTGCTATTTTCTTTGCACTTTAGAAGTTACGCCATTATCTTGCAGGAGCTTCATTCGAAATTCAAACTGACCATTTGCCTCTACAGTTTTTATTATCATCAACGAAGCTTCGAAACCCTAGACTTTTAAGATGGGCGATGATTATAAGTGAATATTCTCCAACCATTACCCCGACAAGTCTAACACGAATGCCGATCTTTTGTCTCGACTAACCGATCACGATTTAAATGCATGTGCGGGCACACGCGTGGGTGCGGGCGCTGACCAAACCACTTCACACCTCACCAAACATCTGGGGGACACGCACGCGGCTGCGCGAGGCAACACAAGGCAATGCAATTACTAGATGTCAAGACAATGGACCAGCGCAGCACCCCACCGGTAACCATGAGCATCGCACCTTTGAACAGCAATGATAAGCCTCGCACGTTCTTTGTGTATCAGCAAGACACGCTTTAGCTCCACAAGAATGTCGACCCACACAACAAGACAATGACTCTTTGTCAGCCAATGTCGAGCAACAAGCAGGACGATTAGCAAGCAAGCAAGCAACAAAGACACACTCACGCCAAGCCACTTCGCTGCCATCCTTAGACAATATACTACAAAAACAGTACAATGACCCACTATTGTATCAAATACGCGCAGCACTTACGTCTCTAGTCACCACGCTTAAAGATTTACACCTCCTTTCAACATATACTATATCTGAAGACTATTTATTCCAGCATATAACGGAACCTACAGCGACCACCAAACCAAACGTACAACTCATCGTGCCGGAGCAGTATCAAACAGTGATTATTGCCTACCATCATGATAATCTACACAGCGCGCACTTGGGCTTCGAAAAAACATACGCTAACATTAAGGAAAGATATTTTTGGCCGAAAATGTATGCTACCATTAACGACTATGTACGTAGTTGCATAATCTGTAAATCCCGTAAGTTAACTTATGTACGTTCACCTTTAGCCGCGGCACTAACACCCAACGCACGATTCGAAGTAATCGCTGTTGATACATGCCAGTATCCAACTACACCCCGAGGCAATAAGTATCTAATTCATTTCCATGATCTCTTTACAAGCTGGCCTGAATGTTTCGCAGTTAATGATAAATCAGCTCAAACAGTGGCAGATTTACTGATTAATGAAATAATCCCACGACATTCATGCCTAAAGATACTTTTATCAGATACTTTAACAAAATTTTGCAATAACCTTATGGCAAAGTTAACAAAGCATTTTGAAATCAAAGCGATCACATGTGCACCCTATCACCCGGCATCCAATGTCGCTAATGAACGCTTTCACAGAGTTTTAAACACGATGTTGAGTCATTTTGTTTCCTCGTATCAAACGAGTTGGGACTTATTAATACCATCTTTGCTTTCAGCGTACCGTGTAAGTATCCATAGTACATCACACAATTCCCCATTTTACGTTTTATACGGCCGCACATGAAATGTGGTGACTGTGTCAATGTTAATCCGGTGTTACACTGAGGGAGAGGAAGAGGGAGAGCACGAGAGAGAGAGAGAGAGAGAGAGAGAGAGAGAGAGAGAGAGAGAGGAGAAGAGAACGAGAGAGAGAGAGAGAGAGAGAGAGAGAGAGAGAGAGAGAGAGGGAGAGAGGAGAAGAGAGC